AAATTTAGAAATTCGGAAATTCAGAAATTCAGAAATTCAGAAATTCAGAAATTCAGAAATTAAAAAATTCTGAAATTCTGAAATACTGGAATCCTGAAATTCAGAAATTCAGAAATTCAGAAATTCAGAAATTCAGAAATTCAGAAATTCAGAAATTCAGAAATTCAGAAATTCAGAAATTCAGAAATTCAGAAATTCAGAAATTCAGAAATTCAGAAATTCAGAAATTCAGAAATTCAGAAATTCAGAAATTCAGAAATTCAGAAATTCAGAAATTCAAAAATTCAAAAATTTAGAAATTTTGAAATTTGGAAATTCAGAAATTCAGAAATTCAGAAATTCAGAAATTCAGAAATTTAGAAATTCGGAAATTCAGAAATTCAGAAATTCAGAAATTCAGAAATTCAGAAATTAAAAAATTCTGAAATTCTGAAATACTGGAATCCTGAAATTCTGAAATACTGAAATTCAAAAATTCAGAAATTCAGAAATTCTGAAATTCAGAAATTCTGAAATTCTGAAATTCTGAAATACTGAAATTCTGAAAATTCTGAAACTCTAAAAATCGGAAGCTCTCAATCCATGTATTCCCCAAGTTTTCAGATTTCAAAATTCTTGAAAACCTTCAATTTTTTAAACATTCCATTTCCCTAAAATTCTGAGAATTCGTTGAAAACTAAATTATTTTCTTAAAAAATGAAAATTCATTCCAGAACACAAAAAATGCAAAAATACAAGAAAAAGTACATGATGTGACACGTATTTCCTAACACATTTTAGGAAGGTAGACAAGATTTAAAAAATCGGAAAATTTGAAAAAAAATTGGGTGGAATTTCAAAAAAAACGCGAAACCGTTCCAAACAAAATTCCACAAACCAAAAAAAAAAACTAGAATTCAAAAAGGAACCCTGAGTGTGGATGAATAGGGGGAATGGGACCCGTTCAGGACATTTGGGGGCCAGAAAAATCGATAAATGAGGAGGATAGGTCCATATGAAAAGCTATACATTTTTTCGAGGGGTAAAGCTAGTCAAGAAAAAGTTAGTTAGCGATTTTTTTTAGTTAGTTTCAATTCAAAAATCTCAAAATAATACAGAAAAGTCGGCATGTAAAAACAACACTTTTAGGCCTTTTCGGATCCAGCCAACGGCAACATCTCCTGAGCCTCCGCCGTCGTATCCTCATCAGAATCGGTTTCCGAAGAGCACGACGAAGAAGACGTTCGTCCGAATAGGAGATCCGAGAACGTTTTGTTGAATACAGAAAGGGGGAATTGAGCCAGGATGCATGGAAGAAGGACTAAGCCATGAAACATTCCCCAGATGACGACTAGAAGGATGGTTTTGACGAAAACCATTGGGAGGTAGTTCTGAAAAAAAATCAATTTTGGAATTTTAAAGAGCATGAAAAGTGGTTGATTTTTGTCGATTTTAACCGCCGACCGCCGCCGACCATAGCCGACTATAGCCGACCATTGCCGACCATCGCCGAACATTGCCTATCATCGACCGATCAGCGCCGACCAAAGCCGACCATCGCCGACCATCGCAGACTATCGCCGACCATCGGCCGACCACCGCCGACCGACCATACCTACCTGCAGAATCGCCAGTGGCAATACACATAAAAGTGTCGAAAACGCCGACTGAACCATTGGCCAGAGAACATTGGACAACGAGTTAACCACACGAGATTCGGGAGTCTTCATCTCAATTTTTTTGACAATTCCGTCCTCCTCAAACTCTTTGAAGCGGACCTAAAAAATGTTATTTAAGAAATGTCTATTTTTTAGATCTAACCTGATAATGGCACGCGACATGTGCCACAAAATCTACCGACATTCCGATTGATACAATAACGGCACATAGGGTCACAGGGTCCAGGTCTAGGTCCCAGAAGCAGAGGTATCCGGTGACTCCGAGGGAAATTGAAAGGATGGCGGCGGTGGCGAGGCAAACGGATAGAGGATTACGGATGAAGACGATGCAGACAGCAGCCATACATCCCAATGTGACCAGTGCGTTCTGAAAAGTTAGAAATTGGTGAAAATCTATATTTGGCATTGGGAAGAGCCGATGATCGAAAACGGTCGTCCGACGATCGGCGATGATCGGAAACGATCGACCGATGGTCGGCGATGATCGGAAACAGCCGGCCGACGGTCGGCGATAATTAGAAACCACTCGCCAATGACTGCCGATAGTCGAAACGATCGGCCGATAGTCGACAACCATCGGAAATGGTTCCCCAATTATCGGAGAACATTGAAAGCGGTCGGCCACTTATCAGCGATAAGAAAAAAAAAATCAATAACTCACCGAAATCGCTAATCCTTTCAAACTGAGCATCTGATCCACAAACATAGCGTTCACATTCCACACGGATACATTCAACGACTTGTAGGAACTTGCGATGTGCCTCCAATCTTTCATAATCTGAATCCGATCATCCCAAGATGTCACATTTTCATAGGCAAAGATCAGCTGCACTTTTCTGATTGGAACTCTGGAGAAATATCGATTGTTCAAATGTTGTTTTTTCGGGATGGCTTACGGATTCGAAAAGTTCAGCTTCAGAGTTCCCTTGTGATGTTTGTAGATCGGGCTTGCCAGGAATGCAGATAGCTTCTAAAAAACAAAGTATTGATTTATTGATTTTTCAGCTCAAACTTACACTTGTATCCAAACTGGTACTTGTATTGGTTACTGTCTCCTCCTCATAATCAAATTCCTCAGCTCCGACACCATAGAAATAGGTTTGATAATCTCGAATCGGACTAATTGTGTACTCCGACCCCCGACACTTTTCCATAGACTCAAAATCCGCTACCAAACTGTCAAAGATGCTTAGTTTGGCTGGATTTCCAATGTCCACTGGATTATTCACAATTACAGTAACCGGATAGAACTCCTTCCAGACAGTTTCCTCAATGATTCGATTGGGTTTTCGAATTGGGGTTTCGAGAGGAAGGATTTTAGCGGTATTCAGAACGGCACGGATTCCAAGGGTTCCATAGATTCCGAATCCCCAGTAAACAAGTGATCCGACGATTAGAAGCAAAAATGTCCATCGGGAGCAAATAATTTTTGCATAGAAGCTGAGTGCCTTGTTGAACAAGGATTCGAGCTGGAAATTGGGAAAATTTGGGAGAAATGGTTGGCCGATAACTTCCGATCATAGCCGATCATTGCCGACCATTGCCGACGGTGGCCACTTATCGCTGATGGTCGGAGATGATCTTACCTTGCTCGGTTCCTTAACCCTGTCGGTCAGCAGCAAAACCAAAATCGGGCAGAAGAATGTGAGTGTGTAGACGTAGGCAAGCAGCAGAGAAATGGCACATCCAAGGCAGAAGATTGACATTTCTGAAAAAAAAACCGATTTTGAGGATTTCAAGTGTCGTCAACTATCGCCGATCATCGGCAAAACATTTCCGATAGTCGCCGACCATCGGCGACTCATTTCTAATGATTGTCGATCTTATTCCATATATCGGCAACTATCGGCAACTAGTAGCAATTCATTAATGATGGTCGCCGATCATCGGCAAACTTCCTCAATCCATTTATCGGTAACTACCTGCGCCATGTTTCCCCTACTAACCTTCCGTCGGATTCATCCACCCAATCAAAAACACAATAACATTTGTCAGTGTCGTCGTAGTGATACTTGGACCAGCTTCAGCTAACATATACCCCAATCGCTTTCCACTCGGAAGATCCGGACTATGTTGCAACCAATTCTGAAGTGTCAAAAACGCATCGTTCACACCGATCCCGTTAATCAAAAACGGCATTATCATCATAGGACTATTCGTTCGATTTCCCAGCATGTTATTGATTCCGAAAGCGGATAGAATCGCTAAAATTGGGACCATCAGACAGGCCAAAGCAATCAAAGCGATTCTCCAAGAGAAGTATCCATAGTAGGAAGCGGAAATGGAGACGGTGAGGAAGATGAAAAGAATCATAGAGATGATTCCTACAATGAAATATGGGACCATTTTCTGCGCGTCTTTGTTCATCTCAGTGTCTACTACCTCGGCTCCAATGACCTAAAAAATGGGGGGTTTCTTTAGACTTAAGGACCCAAGTCTCACATTAATCTCCACCAAATTATGTGGTCCTTCCAATGCTGAATAAATCGTCGCATAATTATAAACAGCCAGCTCCCACTTGTTCAACTTGTCCGTATCTTCGAAAGTCTTGACTTCCGACAAAACTGGAAGTGCCAAAACTCGCATGTCCTGGATATTGGTCACTGGATCTGATTGGTTTATAGTGACACCAAAAAAGTTGCGCTCCAAATGCAACTGATAACCCATGATGGTGGCGATGGGGTAGTCCAGCTGATAACCATCGCGTTTCGGATCTTCCGATTTGGTTTTGTAAGCGGACAAGAAGTAATTTAGGATGTCGTTGGCCTGGCAGTAGTGGCCACAGAAGTCTCCGAACTTCATGAATTCTCCATTGCCGACGTCAGCAGAGAGGTTTTTCGAGATGTAGAGCCATTGCTGGAAATTTTTGGAATCTTTATATATCGTATTTTCAATGGCGTGTCTGGGGATTGCACTTCAATTAGAGGGATCTTTCAATTTAAGGGGCCCTTCTAATACAGGTTTATGGTATATTTTTTTCCATGAATGTTCCGAATAAAAAAACAGCTTCTGAATTTCTGATATTCTGAATTCCCGAATTTCTGAATACCATAACTTTGAGCTTAATTATCTTGGTTCCTGTAAACCGTCTCAAAATTTTGCCAACTGATAAAATATTGTTGATAATATGATAAATATTTTGTCAGCTGATCACTTTTTGATACCATTCACAGGAACCGAGATAATTGAGCTCGAAGTTGAAAATTTGGACCGGCTTCCATTAGAGGAAATACGGTATTCTGAATTTTCTGAAATTCAGGGAAAATATTTTTACCCTCGCGCACTTACCCTTTGCGCCTCTTCCAAGTACTCAATCCGATGCATGGATCCTCCGTCCTTGGCGGTCATCAATACCGTAGTCATCACCGGATCTCCCTCGGACCCCAGAAATTCTCGATAAATCCGATTTTCCAGCCGTGATTGCGAGTTCTTCGGAGTATAACCGTCACGGACATTATCCTTCATCTGCAGACCAATCGCACCTACTGCAAATCGATTTTTTATTGATTCACTGATTTTTTAAAGTCTTCAACTCACACGACGCACTGCACATGATCGCCGTCGCTATGATAAATGGAATCGGAAATTTGCCGATAATTTTCCCGCAAACTTTGTACATATCGGCTAACGAAATGTTGTTGAATGGTCCCAACAGCTCGAAAGTTTTGTGACGCGGTCGAGAAGTGGCCGAGGTGGTCGAGACGACGGTCGGTCGGTGGATGAATTCCTCGCCCTCCGCCGGAGGCGCCATTTGACCTGGAAAAAGAAAATCGATTGTGATCAAGAAACCAAGACTACGAATTTGAAGAGCAAAAGTGTGTCAACCACTCCGTTAACTATAATATTATGATTATGGATAGTGATAAGAGATTTTTTGAAAAAAAAAGATAAGAAAAAATATATGTTGTAGTATGTAAGTATGTAAGTGAAAAGGAGGGATTAACTAGAATGAATAAAAGAGCAAAAAAAATATTTGAGCAGGATAATCGGCAGGAGGAAACCTCTAGTAGAAAATGGGTTGGGATTTGTGAAGCATGATGATGTGGAGAAGAATAATTGGGATAAAGGAATTGAGGTTCGGAAGGAAAATTTCAAAAAAATTTTGCCGCTATTAGTTAGTGAAGATCGGAGAGATGGTGGCTGATCATCGGTAATCACCGGCGACTACCTGCGACCCATTTCCGATAGTCGCCGATAATCGGAAAATATTGGCAAATCATCGGCAACCGATTACCTATAGTCGCCGGTCATTGGCGAACTATTTCTGATAGTTGCCGACTATCGGATGATTATCGGAAACCATCGGCGAGTATTGGCAAACCATTCCTGATAGTCGCCGATCATTTGCAAATTATTTCCAACGGTCGCAGACAATCGGTAATCATTGGCGATTATCACCAACTATGGGAAATCATTGGAAAATTATCGGCAATTATCGGAAAATGTCGACCCATTATCGGCCACCATCGGCAACTCATTTCCGACAGTCGCCGATAATCGGCGACTATTGGCGATCATTGGAAATGCATGTCTAATTGTCGTCGACCATCGGAAAATGACGGTCAGTCATCGGCAAGGTTAGCAGATCCCAAAAACTTGAAAACCGGGAAATTTTTCACTCATCTGATGACCTCATCTAAACAAATGTGACCACTACGTACTAAAAATGTTATTTTTTGAAATTCGAGAACCTAGTGCGAGTACAAAGTTTTCCTGGACCAAGAAATCGTGACGTTTTTTTGGTTAATACACTCAAATCGTCAACATTGGGCCCATATATCTCAGTTCCTGTGAAAGGTATCAAAAAGTGGTCAACTGATAAAATGTTTATCATATTATCACAAATTTTTTATCAGTGGACAAATTTTTGATATCTCTTATGACAACTATCAAAAACATTTGATTTGTTGATAACATTTCGATATCTTCTACAAGAACCGAGATAAATAGGCTTAAAATTTGCGGTTTCAGTGGCCTTCTATTAGAGTGTTAACGGTGTATCAAATTCGGTCAAAGTACAAAAAAAATGATAAAATGAGAGAAAACTGAACAGATATGAATTTCTACGGAGACACATGATTTTGTATATATACATGTCATGATATGTTTGTTTTTAATCTAATATGATAAAAAAAAATCAATGACTCAATCGGAAAAAAATTACGAAATTCGATATATTCGGCTAGGCTCCGCCCACTTATTTTGTGGGAAAATTGTGATGGGTAAACAAGGTAGTGGTCAGAATCAGAAGCACAAATATTAGACGATAATTATTAATTACAATCTGATTCATTTTTTTGACATTTACGAAATTTTATGATTCTGGGAATAAGGGAAAAGGGGGCGGAGCTTGGGAAAAAAATACTTTCTTTGGAGCACAGATTACGATTTAGACACAGAAACGGACATTTTTGGAACGTGGGAAAATGACTGATTGCTCAGAAAAAGTGCAAAATTGCGAAACTTTTTTTTTGAAAATTAGAAAAAAGTTTCGTTTACAAAGATCAACTTACAGGCGGACAGACGTATTGACTTACTGAAAAAAATTAAATAGATGAGTAGAAACGAAAAAGTATCAAAGGTTGGGAGGGAGCAAACTAGAGAAACAAAATTTTTTGGGGTCAGAAATTATGTCTTTTGAAGTTTTTTGGAAATCTGAAATTCAGGCAAATTTTGAATTCTTGAAATTTCAGAAGTTCTAGAAACTCCAGAAGTCCAACTTTCAAAGATTCGAAACTTTTAAAATTAAAAAAAAATATTCCAGAATTCTTTAGAAATGAAAAATGAAAATTCAAGAAAATGAGAGACTTCAGAAATTCAAGCTTTCCAAATATTCAAAGGTTATGAAGAATTCTGAATTTCGGAGATTCATAAAAATTAAAAAAATTTAACATTCTGAGAACTCAGGAAAATCTAAAATTAAAGTAAATTCAGAAATCAGAAATTCAGAATTCCCGCCGAATTTTGAAATTCAAACATTCAGAAGTTCAGGAAAAAACACAAATTTACAAAAATGGAGAAAGTAATTTCAGAAATTATTGAAGTCGGAATCTTTGAAACTCTAAAACCTTGAATTTCAGAAAATTGAAAAAATTCAAACATTTTAGAAATTCGTGAAGTCAGAATATCCACGAAATTCAGAAAAATCTAAAATCGCCGAAAATTCAGAAGGTTGAGATTCAGAAATTCAAAAATTCTAAGATTTCCACTGAATTAAAAAAAAAGTCTGAAATCCGGGAATTCTAGAACATTTGAAAATCCTAAAATTCAGAAACTCAACAATACCAAAAGGTCGTAAGACTCAAAAATGGGGTGGTAGAACTGACACAACCCATACGTCTTTTATAATGAAACTCATCTGTCAATCAGCGGAAAAAAGATGGAGCCACCGAGCAAAAAAAATTTCAGAAGGAACAAAATTTTTTGTCTTTTTTTGGGTCATAAAAATCGTGGCAAAAATCGAGTGATAAGATATAAGACAAAAAGCATCATGAGACCATAAATTATGTAGTTCTTGATTGACGGCTAGAAATGAAAATTTTGAAGTCTAAAAGTTTGAATTATTTGGATTTTTTTTTTCACTATTTTTAAAATTTAAAAGAGATTTTCCATAATTTTGTTTGAAAAAATAAAAGTGCTATGTTTCCTTCCCAAAAAAATGTTCTTTCTTTTTTCACTTTTTTTTCTCCCAAAACAAAAAAAAATGGAAAAATCTATGAATCACATTTGTTCTTCTTTTTTCATCGAAACAATATATTTTTGGGGGGGGGAAGAGAGAAAGAAACTTAGAGAGAGAGAGAGAGAGAGAGAGAGAGAGAGAGAGAGAGAGAGAGAGAGAGAGAGAGACGCAGAGAAAATTGATTTTTGAAAACTCGAAAAAAAACTGTCCCAAAAAAATTCAATTTTCAAGTGTGTTTTTTGAATTTCTGAATTTCTGAATTTCTAAATTTCTGAATTTCCGAATTTCTGAATTTCTGAATTTCTGAATTTCTGAATTTCTGAATTTCTGAATTTCTGAATTTCCGAATTCCTCAATTTCTGAAATTCGGAATTTCTAAAGAATCAAAAGTTTAGAATTCAAAAAATTTGACAAATTAGATGAAAAAAGTTTTGTTTAAAATGTGAAAAAAAAAGTTGGTAACTTGATATGAAACTTGATATCAATGGAATTTTGGAGCAAAGAGAAGAGAGAGAGAAAGAGAGAGAGAAAGAGAGAGAGAGAGAGAGAGAGAGAGAGAGAGAGAGGCACGAGATACGGCCGGAGTTCTGAAGCATCGCAGTTCGCAGTTCTAAAACTCAATATTCGAACTGTGACATATTAGAACTGTAACGTAATGGAACTTCTGATTTGTTGATAATTTCACAATTCTTTTTTCGGGAAACATCTGGAAATCGTTTCGGGGGCTAAATCGAAAAAAACGCGGAAAATGGAAAAATAAATGAGTAATTTAGGTCAATGACATGATAGTGTAAATGTACTTCCGAGGATTTCTTATCAATTAAAAATTACAAAAAATCGGAAAAAAAGATCTTTGACTTACAAATCCAGAAATTTGATATTTCAGATAGCTAGGGGAGAAAGTCGAAAATTCGAAAAAAACCTGAAACTTCAAAAGTTCAGAATTTCTAGATTTTTAAAAAGTCTAGCAATACAAAAAATTCAGACATTCTGAATTTTTTCAGTATACATTATACATTCCAAATTAGGCTTCCCCGAAAAAATGGCTGTGAAGAAGCTGCGGTTGTACAGTCTGGGTGTCCTTGAAGCGGAGAGAGAGAGAGAGAGAGAGAGAGAGAGAGAAAATCTGGAAGGGGTAAAAGTGAAGAAATTAGAAAAAAAAGAGAGAGAGAAAAAGGGAGGAAAGAAAAATGAGAAAAAGATGAGAGACGGACAAAAAGAAAGTGAGAAGTGATTTGATGAGAGATGGATGGATAATCGAAGCGACAAGTGCGAAAATATCAAAAGGACACAAAAGAGATATGATAAGAAAAATGAACTATTTTTCTGAATGAATGAATTTTGGGATTTTCGTCTTTTGAATGTTTTTAGTTCTAGGGTTACTGTACTTCTAGATTTTTGTAATTACCATAAATGAGTTTCTGAACTTCTAGAATTTCAAAAGTTTGACTTATACTCTATGCCAACAATTCCAAAAAAAGCCTTGACTCTTTGAACCTAGATTTATGTCTAACGCTTTAAAATTTGCCTATTTCCGTAGCGAAAAAAGTGTTTTAAAGTCAATTTTTTCGCTCTCTGCGTCTCCTTCTTTCTCTCTCTCTCTCTCTCTCTCTCTCTCTCTTTCTCTAAGAAACTGAGCACACAATTATTGCTCAAATCAATATCTATATAGTTCAACGTTATTTACACAACTGTAATAGACCGAAAAAAGACCTCCCCATGAAAAAAAAGGCGAACAGACGGCCAAAAAAGGAAATTAGAAATTTTTTCGAGGAGGAATTTGGTAAAAAAATACGACGTTATTATTTATGATAGATTCAGAAATTCAGAAATTCTGAAATTCGGAAAAATTCAAGAATTCCGAAATTCACAGATTTGCGAAATTCAGAAATTTGCGAAATTCAGAAATTCAGAAATTTGCGAAATTTGCGAAATTCAGAAATTCAAAAACTCCAAAAACTTCAAAAATTCAGAAATTCAGAAATTCAGAAATTCAGAAATTCAGAAATTCAGAAATTCAGAAATTCAGAAATTCAGAAATTCAGAAATTTAGAAATACAGAAATTCAGAAA